TCGCCCTGCTGTTGTGTCATCCCTTGAGGGCGCGCACCCTGGGACCGGCCCTGCCGGAGCGATTGGCTGGAGCCAGACAAGGAGCGAGGCCTCGGGACGATTCAGACTGCCAGGATTTTTCAGTGAGTTCTATTTTTGAGCTCTTCCCACACACATGGCTCAGCATCCCCTGTGCTCCCTCCCGCTGGCAGCCCCGGCTCCTTCCCCCCCTTGCCGGGCGGGGGGGCTGCGGTGTGAAACCTGCGTTCTGTCAGGGGCAGAGCCGTCGTTAGGGAGCTGAGATAAACCCGCAGCTAAATGTAGAAGAAATTGTAAGTTAAGAAATCTGTACACAGGTTAAGACACTATCCTGGCCTGGAGGCTGATGATTAATAAATAAACTTCCTCCTCAGAGAGGTAGGATCACAGGAACAGAATCACAGAATCACAGAATTGCCTTGGTTGGAAAAGACCTTCAAGATAATCCAGACCAACTGTTGCCCTAAAACTGACAAGTCCTTCACTAAAAAATACCCCTCAGTTACCATGTATACACAACTCCTCAATATCTTCAGGGATGGTGACTCCACTCCCTGGGCAGCCTGTGCCTGATAACCTTTCCAAGGAAGAAATTCTTGCTAACATCCATTCTAAACTTCTCCATGGAACTTGAGGCCATTTCCTCTTGTCCTATCACTTGTAACTTCATTGAACTGACTGAACCCCCTGGCTCCAACCTCCTCTCAGGCAGGTGCAGAGAGCCAGGTCTTCCCTTGTCTCCAGGCTGGACACCCCCAGCTCCCTCAGCCTTTTTTGAGGCTGCACATGGAACAAGAACTTGGAGGGTTTGTTTGACCTTAGTCATACAGATCTAGGAAGCAAAGGATCAGCAAGATCCAGCAGCTGGAGATGAGAAATTGGTGTTCAGCCAGAAGGGCAATTATCCACTGCCTCCAGAGCTGGCAGATGCTCTGCCATGTGGGATCTTTAAATCCACATGCAGCCTCTCTCTAGATCCAGGTCAAGCAGAAATTATCATGCTGGAGGCACCAGTAAGTGAAACTTTGTGTCAGGCTACATCATCCTATGGTCCTTTTGGAGCTCAAAATCAAGAGGGACGTTTGATGAGAGTGTCAGAACAGACTATCAGTCCACAAGAGATGCAGCCTGGAGAAATGGAGATGAGGTCAGCATATGTCTGCACAGTGCTTACCTTCACACTGCAGGCTCCTTGTTTCCCAACAGACACATCAAATCAGTCTCTGGATCCACCTTGTGTTGATTTTCCAAGGGTACAGATGAAATCTCTGGCAGTATTGAAGACTTGTTTAAAACCCCCCATTAGTCCCTTTATTTTTTCCATGGTTTTTTTTTTTTGTTGTTGTTGCATCCAGGAAAAACTAAGGAAGCCACAGTAAAAACTGCACAATGAAATTAAACTTTGCATCACAAAGGATGAAAAATATTGCAGAGGAAGTACTGATATAATGTCTGCTTAAGAAATAAGCCCACATCCCTAGGTTTTGAATGTTGACAGATATATTGAGTTGCTCTCCATGTTTGTAATGTTTCTTTTCCTTTTAAATAAGTATTTTAAAATAGAAAAAAGGAGTTAAAGAAAATAAAACCCCATCAACTTCTAAAATGTGTGAACAAGAGCAAGGGGCATCCTAGGGCTCAGAGACAAGGTGCAATAAACATGTCACAGATATGCTGCTCCAGAATAAGTTGATCTTTGCCAAGCAGAGGCTTAGGAAACAAACATCTCATCCCTGTCTGGGGAGTGTGGTTCCCTCACACAATGGTGGTGCTACCTGGATTGAGCTGTAAGAATGCACTGTGCTCTCAGATACCCAGAATGTACCTGGACAATGCCTTGAGCAACCTGATGTAGTGTTGGTGTTGTCTCTGCTTTGGGTGGGCTGGGTCTGGGGACCTCCAGAGATCTCTACACCTCCAACCTAAATTGTGCTTTGAGACTATGTCCACAGAGCTGAATTGCTCAACTTGACTTGGTAGGACTTGTCCTGTTCTTGCAATGTCCTCTGGGGTTGCATAAAATGGTCCCAGCTAGTACAGGATGGGGAAGGAACTTGGGAAAACCTTACCCATGGGCTTTTTCTTGGGTTGTTCCCTTGGGCTGGCTCAAACTTGGAGTCCTCTTGCTGCTGAGATGGTGCCAGCCCAGGAGGTGGAGGAGCCTCCTGTGTCGTGGCACCTTTGAGGAGGCAGCTGGGATGTGGTGGAATGGGACCTGACACTGAAGCTGTGTTGGTGGCCTGCGTGGCACCACCTCTGGGGTGGATGGTACGAGATCTCATGGGTGGCACACCCTTCCAGGCCACCAGGGCCTGGCTCCTCATGCCTCCCAGAGCAACCTGATTGAAACACAACACTGGTTGGGACTGGGGGGTGTTCTTCCACCCCTCTTCTGGGACATCAGGAGCAGTTACCCAGCAGATGCACTTTCTCAGTGTCTCCTGCACCAGCCATGCTGTGGAAAACACTGTCACACAGCCACTCGTGCTGCACATCAAATCTGGTTTGACCCAATTCATTCCAGGTCACACAGGCAAAGTGTTCTGAGATGAGATCTCCACAAAGTCAAGCATCTCAAATATCCCAGATATAGTCCATCTTCCTCTTTAGAAAGGCAACTCAGGCCATTTTTCTTGGTACCAGCAGTGCAGAGCTCATAAAGGCTCACAGTTCCAGATGCTTGAGCTCTGGGTTTGTCTTGAAATATATACCACAGAGGTACAAACATGAAATGCACCAGAAGGTCCTTCCTTACTATGTGGAGGTCTTCTTACCAGTCAGTAATGCATGGTCTCCTCTAGGAGATGAGGGGTTTGTGGTACTGTGGCTTTACTTTACAGAATCATAGAACCATGGAATGGTTTGGGTTGGAAGGGACCTTAAAGACCATCTAGATCCAACTCCCTGCATGGGCAGGGACACCTCCCACCAGCCCAGGCTGCTCCAAGCCCCATCCAACCTGCCCTTCAACACTGCCAGGGATGGGGCAGCCACAGCTTCCCTGGGCAACCTGGGCCAGGCTCTCACCACCCCCACAGCAAAGAATTTCTTGCTAAGATCTCCATCTCCGCTCTTCGAGTTTAAGTCCATTCCCCGTTGTCCTCTCCCTCCCTGCCCTTGTCCCAGGTCCCTCCCCAGCTTTCCTGGAGCCCCTTCAGGCACTGGAAGGTGCTCTAAGGTCTCCCTGGACCCTTCTCTTCTCCAGGCTGAACACCCCAACTCTCCCAGCCTGTCTCCAGAGCAGAGCTGCTCCAGCCCTCCCAGCATCTCCGGGGCCTCCTCTGGACTCACTTCAGGAGCTCCATGTCCTTCTTATGTTGGGGGCTCCAGAACTGGACACAGTTCTCCAGATGGGGTCTCACAAGAACCAAGTAACAGGGAAGACTCTTCTCCCTGGACCTGCTAGCCACATTGCTTTTGATGCAGTCCAGGACATGGTTGGTTTCTGGGCTGCAAGATAAATAAGAGCCTTGGCCTAAGTACAGGCAAAACCATTACAAACCCATACAAACTGTATTGACTGTGAGTCCCGTCAGTCAGAACTGACAAAAACCACCACCAGCTTTGCGAACATCCTCTAGAGGATGTTTATCCTCCAGAGGACAATCCTTGAGGCATTCAGAGGCTACAGGACTCCAAGTGCTTACTGGCTTCAGCTGGACATTGACTGGGCTGCTCATCTGAGTCTTTTTTCAATTCCTGTGCAGCAGCTTCTTGGAGAACAACCTGTTACTGCATTTCAGCTCTTGTTACAAGTCATGGGTTGAGAACTGTCTTTGTTCTTTCCCAGTCCAGCTGCCTGGTGGATGTTCTTCAGTTGGACACAAGGCAAGGTTTGCAGGAAGAGGTGATTTCTTATGTCAGAGCAACTGACTTTCCTGGTTAAAAGGCCTTTTGTTTGAGTACTCAAGCTCTCCTCCAAGCCTGGAGCAGAAACAGGCCACTACAGATGCTTCTTCAGCAGTGGTTTACCAGTTTGGGATGGGCAAAATTATTGTGGCTGTGGTGGTGGAAGAACACAGACTCCTTGATCCTCCACTTTTTACATGTTGATTTATAATCTGGCTTTACTGTGGAGCAAGCCAACTGGATCTCCTGGGTGAGAAATCCATGCTCACTGTCTGTGGAGTGGTAAAGGGAACCAGGTTCCTCAAGAGGTAGCAGGGTTGTGGCTGGCACTGTTATGGTCCATGTTCACCCATAGCTCTCCCCAGATATTCCACAATACCTTCCACTCTTCCCTTTATGCTCTCTCTGTTTCAATATCCCTGTACAAAAGTCTGTGAAGAAAACATGACAACCCCCCTCCCTTCTTCTTTGCATGGAAGTGGTTTTTTTTCTCTCATGTCTGGAAGGGTCCTGCTAAAGCCATGAAGGGAACTGGGAGCCATGCAGGTGGTAACTTATCAGGACAGGAGCAGAGGTCACTGCCCTGGATGTTGGCCAGGCTGGATACACCTGAGGGCAACGTAAATATGGATAATAGTAATAACAGTCACTGTTGGCCTGGCTCACTGCCAGATCAGGCTCACTGTGACAGATCAGAGAATCACAGAACCATAGGGGCTG